AATTTTGTTGCACTCAGTTGCAGGATTGCACGATAGGAACGAAGGTCGAAGAATAGGAAACTTACCTAGTAGAGGGACCCTTAAGGGTGCGGACCAACACACAATTCACATCGAAGGATATCCCCCGACAATCTAACATGGCTCTTCTTTGACACCATCGGCTCGGAACGCCCACCAACGTAGCAGAGCATTAGCGTGAAGAGGGCACGATGAGAGAGTCGCATCAATGCGAAAATCAGCGGGGCAAGGAAGGGGTTCCATTTCTCGGGTCCGGGTTGTTTCACATGCTTTCTTATTCATCCCTGCTTCACCCACCACCCCTCCCCTTATTTCCAATGCTACATTTTCATCCTAAAATCCGCCTTTAACAGCAAATTTGTGCGGTGCGCGGCGTAATTCTTGACGTGTAGCATGAATGGAGAGAATTATTGAAAAGTTCTGTGCTTCTTATTCAACCACTGAAACCAAAGTGGCTCTGTTCTGTGTGTTCTGAAGTCCTTGCAGTCTAAGCCAAATGAACGCCTACGTGAAAAATGACATTTTTCAGGAACCCGTTCCGATCCCTATTCACCCGGATCCGGCACAGGAGCACCGCTACAATTCGATCCAGGTAATTTCATTTTGCTGAATGACTCTTCACGAGAGTTGTGCAAAGGTTCTGGTATTTCGATGGCTTCTATAGAAATGTAGACAAAATGTGTAAGAAATAATGTACGACAGGCAAAAAATACCTGAGTGAGTGGAATTGATTTGCACAAACATGGGAGCTTGATACGTCTGGTACAGCCTCGCTTCAAGCAATCGAAACTCACGTGTATCATGAAAAAGCTCAATATAAAGCTCTTTTCAGGTCTACTCAACGACATCAACAAAAAGGACTTTGCTGTGTCAAGCGAGAAATCCCGACGGCACTGTGGAGGACAAGCACTTTTTCATTGTGAACAGTGAGTACTTGTAGTCCTACTGATCTCTCACGCAGGGTCAACCGTCCAATCGCACCATTGGGGTCGATGGGGTCGCTTTGTGATTTTGGGAAGAGGGATGGCATGTTAGAGTTGGGAAAGGTCAAATACCTTTTGAGGAAAAGTGTGAAAAGGGGCAGTAAAAGAGGATTGTTTGACGGGATTTGACGGGTTTTTCGATAAGTTTGGGGTAAGTTCCACGAAAATAGGGTAAAGTGGGCAATATTGGGATTTGCCGTTCCATGATACGACGATACCAGTTTACTCTCCCCCTCCCCTGCCCTACTCGACGGCCGTTTTGAAGGAAGTGCGCGGGAGTGAGCTATGTCGACCGGTTGGCTGCGGTCACATTGAAACCCCCTTGAAGGGAAAGGGTCGCGAAATTTTTGCAAAATTGCGAACTGAAGCGTTGGATCCTGCTCTCACGTGATCCTTGAAGGCCATGGAACCGAATGCTTTGAGCGTTTGCAGACTTCAACTAGTCATACTTTGCTTCCAGCAAAAAAAAACGAAACACGAACAAACAAAAACTTGCGATTTCATATCATTATTTCATCTACCCTCTCAATCGATACGATCAATAATGTCGATCGATAAACAAACTTCACAACGTAATGTTCTGTATACTAATCCCTAATCGAAAACCTATTCCTTCAGAACCTGGCAGTCCGCCAAGGGATGTCAACGTGATTGTGGATCCTGACAACAGAGTCACAGTTACATGGGAACCGCCTAAGCATCCTAATGGCGACATTACGGTAGGAAAGACTTTGTCAAGGTCCACCATAGTATGGGCAAGACCTCTTGATTCGCAGCAGGTTACAATGTGTACCTGAGCGGTGATCCGTCACAACCTGTCGATCAATGGCAGAGGTTCGAAGTGAAGGATCCGAGCCAGCTGAAACTCATTTTCGAACGTGGGAGCCACTGAAGCAGAGAGAAGTCCTTACTACGTACGAATTGCCGCCGTAAACCCATCCGGAGAAGGAGTGCATTCCGACGCCACCCACTTCACTACAGTCAGTGGAGGTAGGTAACTAGGCCTTTTTCAAGCATTCCAGAATCGAAGGCGATGAAAATGGCCAATGGCTCCTTCACTCTTACATTTTTCCCACTTCAGCGCCGAATGCGATGCCCGTCTGATATCTTACCGATTTGTTGCCGAGGCAACAACAGGACGAACACCGTCCACATCAGCTGGTTTTGGATCAGAAGAACGCTATATGGAGCCGACATTAAGGTATTATATTGAGGAGGTTTCAAGGCTTCAGTATCTGGTAAGACGCAGGGGAGTACTGTAATTTCAGGCATACACCATCTACTTCACTCCTGATGACGGTACCGCTGACGAAGATTACAGGAACTGGGCTCGTATTGAAGTTCCAACAAGTGATGATCACGGCAACGTCATCATAGACAAAGACCAGTACGACATCAAGCCTAATACTCCATATAAGGTGAGTTCTCATCAAGTGGTCCGACTCTGCGGTTATCTGTCGGCTTTCTCACGTCTAGGAATTTCGCAAAGGTGATCTCGACCTTTTGAAAGGTAAACAAAAGTTTAGGTACGAATTTCGGCCACAAATGATCAGTCTGAAGGTCCAGCATCTGAGCCAACACTTTTCGAAACTGGCAGTGGAGGTATGTGCCAGCAAATTGTTCGAATGAATGTTGTACATTTGAAATCGCTTCCAGAAATGCCCCCCTACAATCACATTGGATCCACCGAAGAACGTGGTTTCTGTGGAGCCAAAAGGATCGGTCAACATTATCTGCACAGCCACCGGACTACCACAGCCCACAGTTTATTGGGTGTTGGAGAATGGCGACAAAGTCGAAGGAAGGGCGCTGCAGCTCACCAACCTCATCAAGGTGCGTGATATTCCGATAGCGAACGGTATGACATAATAGTTTCGGGTTCCAGGACACCACAGCCACATGTCGTGCGGAGAACAGGGCAGGAATGACACAGGAAGTCGTGCAAGTACAAGTTGCTGGTGAGTAGCGGTAGGCGCCGTTGTCGTGGGACACCTTCCAAGAAAGCCATGTTTATAGGCCCTGGAACCCCTCCAAATGAAATCGTCTTGCTTCCAATGCCTAATCAGGTGATAAATGTGGAGTGGACGACACCAGATGAAGTGAACGGACGTATCACAAATTACGTCGTACACTACGGAGAAGTGCCGGAAGGTTCGATTGACGTTAATTCTCGAAAATCTGCAAATACTTCTGACTTTCTTCCGGTCTTGATGCTTCCAACGTCTGACATGGTCGGTTCGGAACTAGGTGAACTGAACAAAGAAGATATTTTCAGGAGAGAATGAACCATTAGAATGGAAACAAGCAACAGTTGACGCCGTAGACGTCAACCACCAGCTGCCGAATCTGGATCCCAAGAAGACCTATGCTGTTCGAGTGCAGGCCATTAGCGATCGTGGTCCGGGAGTGATCTCAGCACCCCAGATGATTCGCACGCTACCACTTGGTAAGTGCTAACCTACATATCAATATATTTCACCCGCGAATTTGCTGTGTATTTTAGCTCCTGCCAAAGTAGAAAATCCGGAAATCACTGTGTTCAACAATAACTCGATAGTGATAGACTTCGTGCCTCCTGCAGATCCAGACAAACCGAAGAAACAGATTAAGGTACGAACTTTGGTAGTCGTACACTCACCAATTGATCCTTCCTCGCAAGTAAATTAGAGGGTGAGACTGTAACCATAAGAACGCTGACCTGAATGGCGCTCCCGACTCTCGGTTCCGAGGAGGTTTTTCCATGAGAAGACACCTCGCTATTGTGATTTTCTGATAATTACTCCTTACTTGTTGCTATGCGCACCATTCCTGGGTTATAGACAATGTGGGAAATTAGGAAATCATGAGTCAGAGCTTTGTTTATTGCAGGATTTCGTCATCCAGTATACTTCTGAAGATCCGCCTACTGATGAAACGGAATGGAAAGAACTTCGCTACACTGATCCAGATGATACTGATAATTACACAGTAGGTGTCAATCCTCCAGAAAAATATCGAATGAGCCGCCATTGAGACTGATTCAGGTCGTACCAATTGATGGCGAGAACTTCAATCCCGACACCAAGTACCACATGCGGATCATTCCTCGAGGAGAAAT